ATCTTATGATAGAAGATATTAACTGAAATATTGCGTTTGATTTATTTTAAATCAATTAACCACTCATGATTGTTAATGTAACAAAATCTATATCTATATCTATATAAAAAGATTTACCATTTTTTAAAAATAGCAAGTCAACTCTTTGGTCAAATTCATATATCATTAATTAGTTTCTATTAATGGCAATATTTTTTTATTTTTTCTTTTTTTTGGTCAAAAAAAATGAAACTTTTGGATAGGATTTAAAGAAACAAATAATCCCTAATATGAAGGAATTTACTATTCAAAAATTAATCAACACATACACAGAGTTTTCCCACTCAGTTACATATCCAAATAAAGGCTTCTGAAAATTATATTTGAAATGGCTTGATCAGAACTAAAAACCCATGAAATTTAAAATAAAAAAGAAAAGAGCTAAATGTATGCATAAGGGATAATCTGATTGAAATTTGAAATAACACTATAGAAGTAAAAGCAATCTGATTGGATTTTGGGAAATTGGGTTTAGACATATAAAAAAAAAAAAAAAAAAGAGCAAGAACTAAACATAGAAATTATCGCCGCTACCATATGAATCAAAATATACCTTCCCTCTCCAATTATATAATCCGCATTCACCTATATATTCCGCAATAAATTAATTTTGTTGCATATGCAAGATAATTAATGATTTATTTGAATTTCGTGCCAAATTCCAATTTGATATTAGTCAAATGTTAGCATATATTTTGCACATTTGTGCATTTTATTTATAGTTATTTCTATCGTTCCGAAAAAAAAAATGTTAGCATATATAAGTAAATTTATATGCAATCTATTGAAAATTAATATATACTATAATTATTGAATTATTCTATTTGTTTTTCTTTTCCCTTTTATTATTTACATTGTTATTGATTCAAACTTGCACATATTTTGATTCATTTATCCTAAATATAGTCTGTAAGCCTTCTTAATTTATTATTGCTTCCAATTTTTTTTTTAATCAAAGACAAGTTGTTGACCGTAAATAGAATATGTGTACAAAGAACTTCTCCTAATAAAATCGAAGCCGTATCCATAAATCCATATGATATCACCAGATATACATACCGATTTTGACTTATTAATAAAAGAAATATTTTGAAAACAATATGATAATATAACCATCTAACCACATACACATATCCAATTTTAGTTAAAATTGTACTAGATTTTTTTACAATAATTCGTATCATATTTCCTGGTATAAAGATTTGGTAGTAAATATGGAATATATACGCTTACATTTTCGTCCAAAAAATGTTACAAAATTTGACATTCTTATCACTTAAAAACAATAATATTACGAATTCTTATCACATACCCGAGTCATTATTTTTTGTTTCAAGCCGAATTGAAAATCTGAGTTTTTTTACCATGTCGAGATCGTCGTTTGAATTTAGAGGAACTGAACTTATTTCGGAAATCCGACGTTAGTCATGCCTTGAGTTGTTGTTTCATTTTCCGAGCCTAATTCCCGTTATTATTTTATTTTTATTTTTTTGGTAAATTCCTGAGCCTCTGTAAAATTATATTTTTCGTAAGTTACTTCAAGTTTTGAATCCCAGTTGCCAATGAGTTGAACGTCGTCAAAACGGCCATCGACACTGAAGTCTCGAATGATATATTAGAGCAAGCTCTTTGCTTGCGGAAATTTATGGTTTGACAATGCATTTATCCTGAAGATTTAATTAAGAAAATCACATTTTTCTAATTGTTGTGCACCTGTCCAATAAACTAAATTTAGCGTTAGTATATTCTATGTATTTTTTACATTTATAATACATACATAAAAATCTGAATGCATATTTATCATCACATCCTATGAGCTTATGTCCAATGATGACTAACATCCTCCCTATATATTATTCCCGAATGTGCTGAGCCTACGTGGCTATTTCTGGTGCTTCGGAATCCTACTTGGCAAAGAATCATGCTTCGTAATTAGGTTTTGACAAATAATATTGATATATTAATAATAATTAATAATCTAGGTTCGGACATTCCATAAACATTATTTAGCTAACCTAGGTATTTTAATATAACTTTTACTAATATAACCCTTTAATTCTTTGTAACTTTACATAGTGAGACACTAAGTGACTAATATATCCCTGGCTTTTGATTTGTTTCCTTCAATTAGCTATTGAATTGTAAATGTATTTTAAACAATTATAACTTTTGTATTTCTTATCGGTTTTATATATATAATATATCAAATTAATTATCTTTTGATGATCTTCGATTTGATATCCATATTGTATATATGAAATAAATAAATCATATTTATCTTTATAATAATAAAAAAGTAATAATATTTATTAAAATTCATTAGAAAAATAAAATTATTTCTCAATTGATATATTTATGTTTAATATAGTTATACGTTGTAAGTCAAAAAAATATTATAATATAACACATGTAATTCGCACAAAGAAAAAAAATGTCATACTAAATATACAATAATATATATATATTTATAAAAGGTGTTGAAATTTTCAATTACTTTTTCTCATTAATTTTAGATTTTAATAAAAAATTAGCAAGCACCCGTGTAATACACGGGCGTTGTACTTGTGATATATCTGATGATAAAAATAAAAATAAACCAACTTTGAACAAAAATTAAGATAGATAGCCTATTTATAAACAATTAATAAAAAACAAACAAACCAATTTGTGTTGAACATGAAACATTGCAATTATTATTTTCAAAAAAAAAAATAGAAATTATTAAGGAAAAGCTTACGTTTATTTACAGTCTTATTTTGATTTATTTGATGGTCACTCTAATAATTGTTGTATGTCATTTTTTGTTTTATTGGGAGAAAATTGTGAAACACTATGGAATATGAAAAAGGGAGAGGGAAGAGAAATTAGAGGGAATCGTTTAATTATGTTTCTATCTATAAATTATTCAACTCACTATTAAGGAAGTTACATGATTCAAACTAAAAAATATACTTTATTAATATAGTTACATAAATTATGAATGAAAAATTTAAACTTGGAATAAAATATAATTTATAATATAGTTGAAAATTATAAAAGGTTTCTAAGCGTGAGGGCAATTTTTTTGGCGACAACAATCAGCATCCGCAGCCCAGCAAGGGAGCCCAATTAAGTGAGGCCCAATTTCCGCAGCCCCTTGTGCA